AGGCCATGTACCTTGGTTGCAGGCACATCCCCACCCCAGTGGGGGGTGTGCAGGAGGCAGCTGATCGATGTTTCTCTCTCATCAGTGTTTCTAACTCTCTACCCTTCTCCCTTCCTTTCTGTAAAAAAAAATCAATAATAATAATAATAATAATAATAATAATAAAAAACACAGACCAGTGCTAGCCGGTTTGGCTCCATGGATAGAGCTTGGGCCTGCAGACTGAAGGGTCCCGATTCTAGTCAAGGGCACGTACCTGGGTTGCAGGCTGAATCCCTGGCCCTGGTCAGAGCGACCAATCTCTGTGTGTCTCTCACATGGATGTTTCTCTCTGTGTCTCTCCCCCTCCCTTCCACTCTCTCAGTGGAAAAATATCCTCGGGTGAGGAATAACAACAACAACAACAACAATTCTTTTTTGAATAAACTAAGGTAAAATGTAAGACAGAAAGTGGGGGGGGGGGGGAGTACAAAAACAGGCCAGAGAAAAGCAGTGCTGGCCGCGGCTGGGCGGGGAGGAGATGGGGCAGTGGGCAGGGCTGTGGTATCTAGGAAGGGGAGGGTCAGGGAGGGCCTCCCGAGGGATGGGATTTTTATATCCTGCAGTTCCCAGTCCACCAGGCTCAGAGCAGAGCTCAGAAATATTTAGGGGATTAAATGAACCCAAGAGAAGCCAGGAAGTCCAGCAGGTCATGAGGGGCCGCCGAGCCCTAGCTGAGCAGTTCCTGTTTTCCCCACAGGAGCTACAGAAGGTTCTCGAGCAGGTAAGTGGCAAGACCTGGGGCCAAGGGGCCGCTGAGGGAAGACGGAAAACAGGGGCATGTAGGCAGAGGGACAAGGGAGGGGAGCACTGAACTGGGGGGGCGGGATTTCTAACCTTTCCCTCCGTGGACCCTTGCCTGCTTGCCTGCTTGTTGGCCAGGCTGAGGCTCCTGCACGGAACCCCATGGTTCATCTCCGTATGGGTGGGTGTGGGGGTGTGGCTCCCTAGCCACACTGTCTCTGAAGCACCAGGTACACCCCTCTCCCCCTGGCTCCCCTCTTCTCCAGGCTCCCCTCTTCTCCAGCCTCACCTGAGAGAGCATGCTTAAGGAAGGAGTCTAATCCAAGACCCGTCTGTGGAAAGTCTGCATGGACTTGCTGTGTGACCTTGGGCAAGTCATTGCCCCCTTTTTTGGGGGGGGGTTTAATCCTCACCCAAGGATATTGTTCCTATTGACTTTATTTAGTTAGTTAGTTGGTTAGTTAGTTATTTTTTCCATTGACTTTTTTTTTAGAGAGAGTGGAAGGGAGGGAAGGAGGATGGGGGTGGGAAGAGAGAGAGAAACATTGATGTGAGAGAGACCCATGTAAGGGATCTATTAGAACTTGCAACCCAAGTAAGTTCCCTTGTCTGGGAATCGAGCCTGACACTCTGGTGCATGGGCCAGTGCTCTAACCACTGAGCACACCTGCTCATCCTCACCGGAGGCTATTTTTTCCATTCGTGTGTACAGAGTCGAAGGGAGAGGGGAAGAGGGAGAAACATCGATGTGAGAGACACATCCATCGATCGGTTGCCTCTCGCATGCACCCTGGCAGGGGCTGGGCACAAACCTACGACACTTCTGTGCCCCCTCCCATGCTCTAACCACTGAGCCATGTGGCCCATGGCTCATTTCTCCTCTCTCTGTTTTCACCTCCTCATTAGAACGTGGGCTGCAAATCCCTGCCCCTCTTCACCTGGGGATCCAAGACGCCCCAGACTAGCTGACTTTCCTTCAGCTTCCCATTCTGAGAAGGAGAGGCTGGCTACAGCAGGGCCCTGGAGGGTGCTATGGTCACCCTCTCCCCAGGACAAGCAGTGGGGCTAAGGGAGAGGAGGCCGGCCAGGGCCCCGCTGCCCTGTGCAGAGCGGGTGGGGGTGGGGGGACTTGCCAAGGAAGGCTTGCTGGGTCTCCTCTCCCTTTGAGGCGGAGTCAGGGCCGGGTCCCCCAGGCCAGACAGGCCCTGGGACCCCAGCACCTACATTGCACCTCCGATCGGGGGCCTCTGCGTGGCGGAGCGCCCCGCTTTCCTCTCTGGATCCCTGGCCCCGTGAGCAGCTCCTGTCTGTCTCACTTTCCCTGGCCGTGTGTTCCTCCCACTGTGTCTGTGCGTGTGCCACCCGCCAGGTGATTCATCCTCACCCCCACACCCAGGGGAGGGCGGGCAGGACCAGGCCGGGATGTGCTGAGCAGGGCAGGGGGAGCGGCCCAGCTGAGCCAAGGAGCGCCTCCCGCCTCCGGCCGGGCCCTGCCTGCCCAGGTGGGAGAGGAAGTGAGGAAACTGCCCCCAAAACAAGGTATGGGGTGGGGGCAGGGGTCCATCTGGGCCCGGGGGCACCAGGCTCCCCCAGGACTAGGAGGGCACCGGGGCCTGTCTGGCTGGCCTGTGGCCAGGGCGGTGTCAGGGAGTCCGGGAAGCTGCTGGAAGCCTGGGGGTTGGGCTGGTCCTTCTCTCCGGGACTGGGAGACCTAACATTCCCTGGGACTCTTACGCCGGGTGACCCTGTGGGCTGTCTGTGTTTTTGTGACACAGGTCCCATGACCCATTAGACCAGGAGGCAAGTGGTGTGTGTGTGTGTGTGTGTGTGTGTGTGTGTGTGTGTGTGGCTGAGCCCCTAAGAGCCGGGGACATCATGGACATGCTTGTTTCATGTGTAGGACCTAGTAAGTCCTGCTACATGCGTGTGTCTTTGTGTTTCTGGGCTCGTGGCAGTGTGTGGCTGTGCTGAGGTTGTGTCTCACGTGGGATTATGGCCCTGGGTGGCTGCTGTCTCTGGGACACCATGTTGCCAATGTGATACTGCGGCCCTGCCATTGTGAGACATGGCGTAAGTGACACTGCGTATGTTCGAGGCTCGGTGGAGCCACGTTCGAGGAGTCTATGCACAGGTATATGATGAAGCATGTTTGGGTGACTGCGTGATCCTATGCGACACTGTGACTGGGGGTCTTTGTGGCTACATATGACTGGGTTTTCAGGAGCGTGATGGCATGTGATTGGACCTTTGAATTTCTGTGGCTCTGCAGTCATGTGACACAGTAAATAACACGTGTGTCTCTGGGACAGATTGGGCCCATTGGTGACTGAGATGGTGTGACACAGGGTCACAGACCCTCCATGACTGTGAGAGGCCACATGGCTGTGGCATAGACACGCTGACACCATGTGTGGGAAGCGCTTTTTTTAAAAATATGTTTTTATTGGTTTCAGAGAGTAAGGGAGAGGGAGAGAGAGATGGAAACATCAGTGATGAGAGAGAATCGTTATCGGCTGCCTCCTGCTCACCCCACACTAGGGATCAAGCCCACAACCCGGACACGTGCCCTTGACAGGAATTGAACCCGGGCCCTTCAATCCTCAGGCCGATGCTCTATGCAGGCGTCTTCAAACTACGGCCCTCGGGCCACATGCGGCCCGCAGAGGAGTCTGATCTGGCCCACCAGGTTTTTTGGGCAGTGAGCGCAGCCGAGGTGTTACAGTAGGAATTAGTAGTTCATATAGTCCGGCCCTCCAGCTCTCTGAGGGACCGTGATCTGGCCCCCACTTTAAAAAGTTTGAGGACCCCTGCGTGGTAGCTCTTTGTGCTGTCTTGTCCTCCAACCCTTCTGCCCACAGGTTGGTCACCCGGACCCTCAGCCTGCCATCCAGCCTTGCCCTCTCTGCTCCGGCCTCCACTCACTTCTGGATCATCTGAGAGACACCCCCCCACACACACACACACACACACCTTCCTTCCTGGGGGCGAATCATCTCTAGGGGCTTTCTTGATACCAGGCAGACCGAATCTTCTCTGCCAAGTGTGACCATGAGGTGGGTTTAGGGAGCCTACCTCGAGGCAAGAGGGACAGTACAGTCAAAGCCGGTGTGGCTCAGTGGATAGAGCCTCGGCCTGCAGACTGAAAGATCCCAGGTTTGTTTTTTTAATATATTTTATTGATTTTTTTTTTTTACAGAGAGGAAGGGAGAGATATAGAGAGCTAGAAACATCAATGAGAGAGAAACATCGACCAGCTGCCTCGGGGGATGTGCCCGCAACCAAGGTACACGCCCTTGACCGGAATCGAACCCGGGACCTTTCAGTCTGCAGACAGACGTTCTACCACTGAGCCAAACTGGTTTCGGCATGAAAGGTCCCAGGTTTGATTCCGGTAGGTTTGGCTCAGCGGACCAAAGAGTCCCGGGTTCAATTCCAGTCAAGGGCATGCACTTCAGTTGCAAACTCAGCCCTGGTTGGGGGCGTGTGGGAGGCAACCGATCGATGTGTCTCTCTCACATCCATGTTTCTCTGTCTCTCCCCTTCCTTTCCACTCTCTCTAAAAATCAATGGAAAAATATATCCTGCCCTAACCGGTTTGGCTCAGTGGATAGAGCATCGGCCTGCTGACTGAAGGGTCCCGGGTTTGATTCCGGTCAAGGGCATGTATCTTGGTTGGGGGCACACTTTGGTAGGGGGTGTGCAGGAGGCAGCTGATCGATGTTTCTGTCTCTCATCGATGTTTCTAACTCTCTATCCCTCTCCCTTCCTCTCTGTAAAAAATCAATAAAATATATATATCTCCTTGGGTAAGGATTAACAAAAAACAAAAAACAAAAAAAAAAGATGATTTGGGTTCAATGTACCCACTTTGGTCATATAAACCAGGCCTACAACTAAGCAAACTATAGGGTGCTCGCTCCCACCCCCACCTGGGTAAACTCCCAGGTAAATAATGACAGGCAAGGGATCAGTGTATCGATCGCAAAGAACTCTTATCCTGTTGCCAAAGGTCTTCTCCAGTATGAAAACTCCCAGCCCCAGCTCTGGGCCTGGCTCCCCTTCTGAGGGCCCGGATAGGGGCTTCCCAGGATGGCAGCGTGGCCAGAGAGGGGGTGCCGGGAAACCCGACACCCCACACACCTGCTAAGATGCGCTCCTCCCCGGGCCCCTCCGCAGTCCCATCCGTTGCTTCACGCCCAGTCTCTCCCTTCCCGCAGGCCTGCACCAGGGAAACCGGATCCTGGTGAAGAGTCTGTCCCTCGACCCCGGCCAGAGCATCGAGCCTCATCCTGAGGGTCCCCAGCGGCTCCGCTCAGACCCCGGCCCCCCCACCGAAAGCCCCAGCCAGCGTCCTTCGCCACTGAAGCGGGCACCGGGCCCAAAGCCACAGGGTGAGTTGTTCCAGGGAGTGGCAGGGGAATGGCCTGGGAGAGGGGACAGAGGAAGGGAGAGGCTGGCCAGGGGCACAGGAGAGGCGTGTTAGAACAGCAAGCACCGTGGTCCCGGGGCAGAGGCTGTGACTCGGAGCTAATGCCCACACACCGGGATGTCACCCAGGCCTGCTCCGTGCCCACCTCGGGGCTTGTGCCCGGCTGTGACAGCCCCATCCAAACCCAGCACATTGGATCTCCTCTCTTGTCCCCTGTCATCCAGTCCCCCCGAAGCCCAGCTACCTGCAGATGCCCCGGATGCCCCCTCCACCCGAGCCCATCCCTCCCCCACCGTCACGCCCGCTGCCTGCAGACCCCCGAGTGGCCAAGGGCCTGGCCCCCAGGGCAGAGGCCAGCCCCAGTTCCGCAGCCGTGTCCTCACTGATTGAGAAGTTTGAGAGGTGAGTGTGGTGCCTGGGGGTGAGGATGAGGGAGGGCCCGGGGTAGGCAGGATGGTCGTAAGACAGGCCTCGCAGTCAAGCTCACACCTGCCTCCATGTGTGTCCACCACCCGCCTCAGGGAGCCCGTGATTGTTGCCTCGGACAGGCCAGCCCCCGGCCCCAGCCCAGGTCCCCCAGAGCCAGCCATGCTGCCGCAGCCACCCCCGCAGCCTCCGGTGCCCCAGCTCCCCGAGGGCGAGGCCTCCCGCTGCCTCTTCCTGCTGGCTCCTGGGCCCCGGGATGGCGAGAAGGTCCCCAACCGGGACAGCGGCATCGACAGCATCAGCTCTCCGTCCAACAGCGAGGAGACCTGCTTCGTCAGCGATGACGGGCCCCCCAGCCACGGCCTCTGCCCCGGGCCCCCCGCCCTGGCCAGCATCCCCGTGGCCTTGGCTGACCCCCACCGGCCCAGCTCTCAGGAGGTTGATAGCGATCTGGAGGAGGAGGACGAGGAGGAGGAGGAGGAGAAGGACAGAGAAATCCCAGTGCCCCTGATGGAGAGACAGGAGTCGGTGGAGGTACTGACCCGTATTCACTGAGGGGCAGGGCCCTGGGGAGGCACCAGGAGCCTGGCTGGCCCGCTGGGTTCTTTCTCTAGCTCAGTGCTTCTCCGAAGAGAGTGTGTTTTCACTTTGGATGTTGGGCTTCCCTGGGCCCCTGGCACTAACTCTGAGTAGCAACGCCCTGCCTCGCCACCACTCTGACTACCAGCCTGACCTTGCCCAGTTCTAAATGCCCCCTTGGAAAATGGTTCTGGCCTCATTGGAGAAACACTAGCAGGACCTCAGTTTTTCTTTTCTTTTCTTTTTTTTTTAAATATTTTTATTGATTTTAGAGAGGAAAGGAGAGGGAGAGGGAGAGAAACATCGATGATGAGAGAGAATCATGGATCGGCTGCGTCCTGAATGCCCCTCACTGGGGATCGAGCCCACAACCCGGGCATATGCCCTGACTGGGGAATCAAACCATGACCTCCTGGTTCATAGGTTGATGTTCAACCACTGAGCCACACCGGCTGGGCTGTGCCTCAGTTTTTCCATCTTAGTTGGGGACCTTCAGAGTCTTGTCCTAGCTTGAAAATCCCATGACTTAACAGCTATGGGATGTTGGGCAAGTCTCTGCTCTCCCACCACAAGCCTCAGTGTCTTTATTTGTAAAATGGGAAGCCTCTCATGTTCAAAGGGACTTCTCAGCAGCCGGCTTCCAGGGGGCACAGGGGCTGGAGTCCCGAGGCTCTTTCTGGCCCTGGCAGGCTAACACTGCTTCCAAAGGCATCCTTAGGCCACAGCCAGAAGCTGGGTCGTGGCCAGGATGCCTGCTCCACCAGAACCCAGCTCAAATGTGGGAGCTGAGGCCAGGGACTCCCCAAATATATGTCCGGTGAATAGGAAACTGGGCCAGCAGGCAAGGCGTTTTATACATTTTTAGACTTCTGTGTTTTCCTCTCACGCCAGGGACTCAGCACGACTCTGCTGACAGTGAACCGAGTGGGTGAATAAATACTAACATTTATAGACTTCTTAATCTGCACTCTGCTCTGTTTCACTTGTATGAAATCGTTTGTCTCGATTACAAATGTTCGTAGGTGCTATTATTAGCTGTATATGTAGATAATGACACTTAAGTACAAAGCAGTTACACAATTTATGTAAGCTAATGAGTGGCAGAGCGAGGATTTGAACCCGGGAAGTCTGACTTCCTGACCCACAGGCCTAACCACTGCACTATGTAAATGAATGGAGAGAGCTGATGGCTGGGCGAATGAGTGGCCTAGTGAAGGAGTACATGGCATCTGGATAGAGGGGTGGCTTTTTAAAAATATATTTTTATTGGTTTCAGAGAGGAAGGGAGAGGGAGAGCTAGAAACATCCATGATGAGAGAGAATCTTTGATCAGCTGCCTCCTGCACGCCCCCTACTGGGGATCGAGCCAACCGTGACCTGCTAGTTCATAGGTCAACGCGCAACCATTGAGCCACGCCAGCTGGGCAGGGGTGGCTTTTTTATGATATATTGGAGAGTCAGGGATGAAGTTATGGGGCTTAAAGGTCTAGAAATGGGATGCAGGGTTATATCTGGCATTAGACTTAGACTAGCCTTTGAGCTATTCTGAGAATTCTGGGGGCCTTGGGTAAAGGTTAGAGTACAGGACTGGGGATCAGGTGGCCTCTCTCCTTTCCAGTTGACGGTGCAGCAGAAGGTGTTCCACATTGCCAATGAGCTCCTGCAGACCGAGAAGGCCTATGTTTCCAGGCTCCACCTCCTGGATCAGGTAAATAGCCCCTCGGGGGTCCGGGGCCCTGGGATCTGATAGATGGATGCTCAGGCGAAAGTGATAGGACCTGAGCTCATCGGGGCTAGAATCTAGAGGTGGTAAGGTTCCTCCCTGACCTTAACCCCCATCCTGTCCCTAAAGTCTGCTTTGATTACGATCCCAAGCTTGATTTTTATACCAACCCTCATCCCTAACCCTGGGTGGGTACACTAGCTCCAATTGCAACTCTGACCCAGATCCTGAATTGACCACTGAACCTCATTCTAACCCTGACCTCAAATCCACTAGAGTCACTAAGGGCAGGGACTTTTAACTGCTTTCTTCACTGCCTGGCACACAGTAGGCACTCAAAAATATTTGCTAAATGGCCGAGACCGATTTGGCTCAATGGATAGAGCGTCAGCCTGCGGACTGAAAGGTCCCGGGTTCGAATCCGGTCAAGGGCATGTACCTTGGTTGCGGGCACATCCCCAGTAGGGGGTGTGCAAGAAGCAGCTGATCGATGATTCTCTCTCATCGATGTTTCTAACTCTCTATCCCTCTCTCTTCCTCTCTGTAAAAAATCAATAAAATATATATTTTTTTAAAAAAATATTTGCTAAATGAACAGATCTAATTCCAACCTTCTCTCTCACCCTGAATCTAATTCTGACCTTGACCCTGATTCTGACTTTTCATTGTTCCAGTGCCTACCTCCAGGTCCTAACCTTGACCCCCTGAAATCCAGCCCCCCATGGAAACCTAACACCATCTCCTCTCTCCTCAGTCTCAAGACCGTGCTGACCCCAAAGGGCCACACCGCTACCCACACACACCGCCCTCACCTGCAAGCCGCCCTGCCCCAGCCAAACCCCAGGCCCAGCTGGGCTGAGCCTCCTGCCCTGCCCCACAGGTGTTCTGCGCCCGGCTGCTGGAAGAAGCACGGAACCGCAGTTCCTTCCCAGCTGATGTGGTCCACGGCATCTTCTCTAACATCTGCTCCATCTATTGCTTCCACCAGCAATTCCTGCTGCCCGAGCTAGAGAAGCGCATGGAAGAATGGTGAGGGGCCCCAGATCTAGGCTTCCGTCCTCCTGTCCACTTGCCTGTTGAGACTCAGGCCAGATGTGTGCACAAAGTTCATTGCTGCCTGCCCTCTGCACTTACCACCCGTCACAGAAAGAATTAGGCCCAAGCTCTGCCTTCTAGGCCCTCCCAGACTAATAGAAAACACAGTCCAGGACTCAGAAAATTATAACAGAACTAGAGGCCTGGTGCACGAATTCGTGCACCAGTGGGGTCCCTCAGGCTGGCCTGCGGGATTGGGCTGAAACCAGCTCTCTGACATCCCCTGAGGGGTCCTCGATTTCGAAAGGGCTCAGGCCAGGCTGAGGGACCCCACCGGTGCACAATCAGGGCAAGGAAAAGACACAGGAGGTTGGCCAACCTGGGAGGGACTGCAGGAGGGCTCCAGGGCATATCCAGCCCATCTCACTCAGTCCCAATCAGTCAGACCCCAGCAGCAAGCTAACCTTCCAATCAGAGCATCTACCGCCTGGTGGTCGATGCACATCATAGTAACTGGTTGACCGGTTGACTGCCTGCCCCTGAGGGTCAGTGCACGCCCTAGTGTGTGGTTGAGTGGCCTTAGCATATCATTAGCATATTATGCTTTGATTGGTTGAACAGCCGACAGGACAACTGGACACTTAGCATATTAGGCTTTTATTATATAGGATAGCAAAGCCCATAAGAGTAGGAGGTTAAGAGTCAAGTGGTCTAGGTTCAAATTCTAGCTCTGTCATACGTAGATTTGTGACATTAAGTTTCTTACATTACTGTGATTCCGTTTCCTCTCTGTGGAATAGAAGTAGTAAGAGTACGCTCCCTTGTGAGGTTGCTTTAAGGATTAAATTAGCTCATTCACGTAGAGAACAGTACCTGGTATATAATAAGTGCTCAATGAAGGTGAGCTGTTTTTCACCAGTGCTGTGACAGAGCTCAGAATGGAAGGCTGTGGGAATCCAGAAAAATGAACAAAACCAAGCCTAGTGGGGAGGGGTTAGAGAAGAGGCCAGAGAGGAGGTGAGGCCTAAGCTGAGGCCTGAGGTAGGAGGGCTGGGGTGAGAGACAATCTCCCAACCTCCAGGCTCGCCTCTGCCAATCCATCCTTTCGATCAGGGGTGGGGAACCTTTTTTTCTGCCAAGGGCCATTTGTATGTTTATAACATCATTTGCGGGCCATACAAAATTATCAACTTAAGCCGAAACCGGTTTGGCTCAGTGGATAGAGCGTCGGCCTGCGGACTGAAAGGTCCCAGATTCGATTCCAGTCAAGGGCATGTGCCTTGGTTTCGGGCATATCCCCAGTGGGGGGCGTGCAGGAGGCAGCTGATCGATGTTTCTTTCTCATCGATGTTTCTAGCTTTCTATCTCTCTCCCTTCCTCTCTGTAAAAAATCAATAAAATATATATATTTTTTTAAAAATTATCAACTTAAAAATTAGCCTGCTGTAGGCTGGATCCCCAACCCTGGTCAGGGCGTGAGCGGAGACAACCAATGTGTCTCTCTCACACCGATGTTCTTCTCTCTGTGTCTCTCCTCCTCCTTTCCACTCTTTCTAAAAATCAATGAAAAAAATATCCTTGGGTGAGGACTAACCACAACAACAAAAATTAGCCTGCTACACCCTAGCCGGTTTGGCTCCGTGATAGAGCCTGCAGACTGAAGGGTCCTGGGTTCTATTCTGGTCAAGGGCACATGACTCCATGGCAGGCTCTTCCCAGGCCTGGGCCCTGGTCAGGATGCATGCAGGAGGCAACCAATAGGTGTGTTTATCTCACATTGGCGTTTCTCTCTTGTCTTTCCCTTTCTCTTTTACTCTAAAAAAAATCAGTGGAAAAATATCCTCGAGTGAGGAGTAAAAACAAAACAAAACAAGAAATTCACCTGCTATATTTGGTCAAACATTTCATTAATGCACTGATAATGCCTTGGCAGGGCCAGACCAAATGATTTCCCTACCCCTGCTCTAGAGTCTGCACCACCTGCCATAACGGTCTTTCTGAAGGATAATCAGACCGTGTCACTTCCTGTTTAAAATCATCTCTAGGCTCCCACAACCACAGGATAAAATATGTCCCCCTCATCAGACAGGGACCAAAGAGAGCTGGCTGAAACCAGGTCCTACATTTCCCCAACTGGCTGTGACCCTTGAAGGCTGGACCAGTCATCATCCTGTGTGTCCCCTAGCTCCGTGGTCGGCAAACTGCGGCTCTCGAGCCACAGGCGGCTCTTTGGCCTCTTGAGTGTGGCTCTTCCACAAAATACCATGGCCTGGGCGAGTCTATGTTGAAGAAGTGGCGTTAGAAGAAGTTTAAGTTTAAAAAATTGGGCTCTCAAAAGAAATGTCAATCGTTGTCCTGTTGATATTTGGCTCTGGTGACTAATGAGTTTGCCGACCAGTGGCCCAGGCCAAAGTCTCATATCAAGCTGAGTCTCTTGGCCTAATTGGCTGATAATAGAAGCAGAACTTTCAAAGGTGTGGCTCAGTGGTTGAATGTCGACCTAGGATCCAGGAGGTCACGGTTTGATTCTCGGTCAAGGCACATGCCAGGATTGTGGGCTCAATCCCCAGTGTGGGGCGTGCAGGAAGCATTCTCTCTCATCATTGATGTTTCTCTCTCTCTCACTCTGTTCCTCTCTGAAATCAACAAAAATATATTAAAGCAACAGCAACAAAGAAGCAGACTGGCTGGGAAGTAGATGTCCAGGACCAAGAGACCCCATGGGTCTCTGCCTGAGGCTGGTAGGGGACTGCTGGGGTGGGGCCTGGGGACAAGGATCAAAAGGACCATGTCAGCCCTGCCTCCATCCCAGGGACCGCTACCCACGCATCGGAGACATCCTGCAGAAGCTGGCGCCTTTCCTCAAGATGTACGGCGAGTACGTGAAAAACTTCGACCGGGCCGTGGAGCTGGTCAACACCTGGACAGAGCGCTCTACCCAGTTCAAGGTCATCATCCACGAGGTGCAGGTACGCGGCCAAGAGGGACGGGGTGGATGGGTGGAGAGGTCTGGGGGGCTTGGTGTGGGGTCAGTGGCCGGTCCCGAGCCCCCTTGCCTCTGCCCATCACAGAAGGAAGAAGCCTGCGGCAACCTGACGCTGCAGCACCACATGCTGGAGCCCGTGCAGCGCATCCCCCGCTATGAGCTGCTTCTCAAGGACTATCTCCTCAAGCTGCCCCATGGCTCCCCGGACAGCAAGGATGCCCAAAGTGAGTGCGCATGCCCAGCCCCCTGCCAAGACTGCATTCGTCGGCCAGCCTGCCTTTGCCCACATAGTTGAAATCCCAGAATGGGATCTCCAAGCTCTGGAGTGAGACCCCAATTGAGATCCCTGCCTGAGGCCACCCATAAAACACTCAGGGGTCCCCCAGTCTGAGGTTTCCAACTGCGATGCCAGAGTTGGAGGCGCATGCCCAGAATGATCCCAAGGCAGACACCTGTTTCCCAAGCCAAGACCCCAAGGCCGACCCCTCAGAGGAAGTTGTCCAAGTCCAAAGGCACTGAGCCACTAGGCTGAGAGTCCAGACCGGACTCCACGGGTCGGTCTCCACAGCTGAGCTGAGATTTGTCCAATTGTCCATCCTCCACATTTATTTATTTTTAAAAAAATATGTTTTATTGATTTTTTTTTTTTACAGAGAGGAAGGGAGAGAGATAGAGAGCTAGAAACATCGATGAGAGAGAAACGTAGACCAGCTGCCTCCTGCACACCTCCCACCGGGGATGTGCCCGCAGCCAGTGTACATGCCCTTGACCGGAATCAAACCTGGGACCTTTCGGTCCGCAGACTGACGCTCTATCCACTGAGACAAACCGGTTTCGGCCATCGTCCACATTTAGAGCTCCACTCCCTGTCTGCCAGCCCCCACCCAGCATGCACCTCCCCAAACAGCCTCCGGGTCTGATTGGAGCTCTCCAGAACGGAGCTTCCCAGACTGGACTGGGTGTCTTCTGCCTCCAAGATGTCTAGGCCGAGATGCCGCTTCCCCACATCGAACCGCTAGAAAGTATTTCATTCTGATTCCTCCAGTATGAGGCCCATCCCCAGGGCCACACCCCCAACAGTGCTTTCTAGAGTCTCCCCAGCTCTCTCTCAGTCTGGTCTCCTTGTTCGCCATTGTATGGAAGGGTATGAATTTCTCCATTTCCTGCCCCTCAGACTGAGCCCAAAGGACTGACCCTCAAGATCCATCCCACAGGCCACTGAGCCCTCAGACTGGATTCCCAGTGTGAATCCCAGAGAGAGCCCTGAGACAGCCACCCAGACAGAGACTCAGACTCTCGTCTCCCTACCCCAGCCCCCCAAATTAAGCTACTTATGCCAAGCTCCAAGGCTGACCTTCCATCTCAACTCCCCCAGATTAAGCTCTCCTTTTTCTTTTTTTTTAAATATATTTTTATTGATTTCAGAGAGGAAGAGAGAGAGAGAGAGAGAGAGAGAGAGAGAGAGAAGGAGAGAATATCAATGATGAGAGTCATTCATCAGCTGCCTCCTGCATGCTCCCCACTGGGGATTGAGCCGAAACCCGGGCGTGTGCCCTGACCGTGAATCGAACTGAGACCACCTGGTTCATGGGTCAAGGCTCAACCACTGAGCCACACTGGCCGGGCTATTGTGGCTATTTTTAATGGTAATAATAATCTTGTTAAGCTTGCATTGTCTAGGCTGCCAGCTAGCCCATGTATTAGGATTCTGCCTTGAGACAGTCTCTGATTTTGTGTAACGTTGCTATGGACATCTTTGAGGCTGGCGCTTTCTGGGATGGGGAGGGTGCAGGCAGGCCAGGAGGAGGTACGCAGGAAGCCAAGGAACTCCCCAGAGCCTCTTCTCTGCTGGCCTTCCTCCGCCTGACCTCCCCCTCTGCCCACAGAGTCTCTGGAGCTAATAGCCACCGCCGCGGAGCACTCTAACGCTGCCATCCGCAAAATGGTGAGTGGCCTCTCACCCTGCCCTTCCTCGGCCACCCGCCTGTGCTGTCTCTGTCCGTCGGAGGGGAGGCCAGCACTCCAACCCTGCCTTGTGCTCACTGTCTCTTGCCAGGAGCGAATGCACAAGCTGTTGAAAGTATATGAGCTGCTGGGGGGTGAGGAAGACATTGTCAGCCCCACCAAGGAGCTCATCAAAGAAGGCCACATCCTTAAGCTGTCAGCAAAGAACGGGACCACTCAAGACCGATACCTCATATTAGTAAGTGCCAGGGGTGGGGTTGCGGGTGGGCCCCCTCTCCCCCTCCTCCACATGTTGACCTGGTACTCCAGACTACCTCCTGTTAGTCAGTCTTTCCTCCTCTGACGCATTGCACTTTCACTACCTACACTAGGCATGGTTTTCCCTCTACTTTATCTACTTTACAGATGTTATAACTAAGACCCAGAGAAGTGACTGGCCCAAGGTCACTCACCTAGGAAGTGACTCCCCTGCCTACACTCTTTCCTTGCTACCTTTGTTTTAGCTATCTATCTGTCTATCATCTATCTACCTATCTATCTATTTATCTATCTATTGTTAATCCTTACCCAAGGATATTTTCCCATCAATTTTTAGGGAGAATGGAAGGGGGAGGGAGAGACAGAGAGAAACATAGATTTGAGAGAAATACATCAATTGCTTTCTTCCTGCATGAGCCAGGGAGGAGCCTGCAACCCATGTACATGCCCTTGACCGGAGTGGAACCAGGATCCTTTGGTCTATCCACCGAGCCAAACTGGCTGAGGCTCCTTGCGACCTTGGTGTCCTGTCTAGGCCATTGTCTCCTCCTGTTGCCTTGTAATCCCCGGTAATAAAGCTTTGGGGTCCCACACACATACAGACCAAACCTTTCCCTTCCTAGTTCAACGACCGCCTCCTCTACTGCGTGCCCAGGCTGCGGCTCCTTGGCCAGAAGTTCAGCGTGCGGGCACGCATTGACGTAGACGGCATGGAGGTGAGTGCCAGGGCGTGGGAAACGGGAACCGAGTGAGTGGGGCCTTGGTGCTGGGCGGTTGTCACAGAGACGGCTGACTCTGCCCCCCAAGTCTGTGTGCAAAGGATGAGGGACTCGCTAGACCTTACAAAGCCTCCGTCTCCCTCCATTTCAGCTGAAGGAAAGCTCCAACCTCAATCTGCCTCGGACCTTCCTGGTGTCAGGAAAGCAGCGCTCCCTGGAGCTCCAGGCCAGGTACCCGCCCTCGCCTGTCCCCTCCCTTCACATAGGCTGGCGTTCTCTGCCTAGGGCATGCGCAGCAGGTACCTCCCCAGGGGAGAGATGATCCCAGGAGAGGGTGGGCACCTTTCCCCAAAGATGCTTCTTCTGGTGGGTTCGAATAACAAACAACATGGATAGTTTGTTGTAGATTCATGAGAAATACCAGCTGCCATGCTTGATCCCCCTGTGAGAAAAACAGCCCTAAGAGATATTTGCAAGACAATGGGGAAATGGAAATGTGAATTGAGCTTTTGGGCAATTGCTGCTAACTTCCTCTGAGAGTGAGAGAGAATGGTCTTGTTTTCTGATGATGCCAGCTGAGGAGTTTCTATCTATCATATCTGTCATTGATTTTTACAAATGATTTATCAACCAAAAATACATACATATACACACATTTTCTCACTCTCTCTCACACACACAAAATATATATCAATAATAAAAAGGAAGCAAATACAGCAAAATATTTTAAATGTTTGCATCTATCTAGTGCACATGTGTCAAACACAAGGCCAGCGGGCCAAATCCGTCCTGCCAGGCCTTGCAATGTGGCCCGCACCGCGCTGTCATCACTGCACTCCGCTGCGTTTCCATCTCAATGACAGTTTATGACTGTTCAGTAAACCATTCGGCCCGCGATTTAGGCTGGATTTTAGATTTTGGCCCCTTCTCTGATTGAGTTCGACACCCCTAATCTAGTGGGTAGATATTTAATGTATTTGTGCTATCCTGTGTTTTTCAGTTTGCTTGAAATTTTTCTTTTAAAAAAAAATATATTTTTTTAAATATATTTTATTGACTTTTCACAAAGAGGAAGAGAGAGGGATAGAGTCAGAAACATCGATGAGAGAGACTCATCGATCAGCTGCCCCCTGCACAGCCCCGACTGAGGATGTGCCCGCAACCAAGGCACATGCCCTTGACCGAAATCGAACCCGGGACCTTTCAGTCCGCAGACCGACACTCTATCCACTGAGCCAAACCGGTTTCGGCTAAAAAATATATTTTTATGGATTTCAGAGAGGAAGGGAGAGGGAGAGATAGAAACATCAATGATGAGAGAATCACTGATCAGCTGCCTCCTGCACGCCCCACACTGGGGATCGAGCCTGCAACCCGGACATGTGCCCTGACTGGGATCGAACCCAGGGCCCTTCAGTCAGCAGGCCAACGCTCTATCCACTGAGCCCAACCAGCTAGGATGAAATTCTTCTCTTTTTTTAACAACTTTTTTTCCTTTTTATCGAATTTATTGGGGTGACACTGGTTAAAATGATAAGGGTTTCGGGTCCACAATTCCACAACAGATCATTTGTACCCTGTGTTGTTTGTTCACCATCCCAAGTCATGTCTCCATCCATCCGTTTATCCTCCCCCCAATATCCTCTTCCACCTCCCTCCACTCCCCCTCCCCCCAGCAATCCCCACACTGTTGTCCATGACTTTTTGACATTTTTCAAACAAGAAAACAAGTTTAAATAATAAAGTTAAAAGTAATGTCCAAAGAGGCTTCTTTCTTATCTATCCTCTACTTGGATGGTTCTAATAGTACCTCACATTTAATGAAAACGTACTTGCTCTTATGCCAGGCACTGTTTTAACTTAATTTTAGCTTCAACAATTTAAATGTAATCAATCCTTAAAACAACCCCTTGCCTGGCCGGTGTGTCTCAGTAGTTGAGCGTTGACCTCTGAACCAGGAGGTCATGGTTCCTTTCCCCTGGCCAGTGGTCGGCAAACTCATTAGTCCACAGAGCCAAATATCAACAGGACAGCGATTGAAATTTCTTTGGAGAGCCACATTTTTTAAACTTAAACTTCTTCTAACGCCACTTCTTCAACATAGATTTGCCCAGGCCGTGGTATTTTGTGGAAGAGCCACACTCAAGGGGCCAAAGAGCCGCATGTGGCTCACGAGCCACAGTTTGCCGACCACGGCCCTGGGTGCAGGAGGCAGCCAATCAATGATCCTCTCTCATCATTGATGTTTCTAGCTCTCTCTCTCTCTCTCCCTTCCTCTCTGAAATCAGTAAAAAATATGCTTTTTCAAAAACAAAACAACCCTTGAAGCTACTGTTGTCATCTACCCCATTTTACAGATGAGAAAACTGAGGCACAGAAGAGCTATGCACCTGGCCTACATTCCCACAGCTAGAAAGGAGCAGAGCTGGGACTGGAGCTCATGCTGCCTTCTGAGGGCCCAGGTGATAGATACCCAGGTCATGGTCAAGGCCGGAGAATGATGCATATGGTTCAGGGGTCCTCAAACTTTTTAAAGTGGGGGCCAGATCACGGTCCCTCAGAGAGCTGGAGGGCCGGACTATATGAACTACTAATTCCTACTGTAACACCTCGGCTGCGCTCACTGCCCAAAAAACCTGGCGGGCCAGATCAGACTCCTCTGCAGGCCGCATGTGGCCCGCGGGCCGTAGTTTGAAGACGCCTGGTAGATGATCTGCTTCAGACAGAGTGCAAGGAAGTGAGAAATGAGTCAGACCCCTCATTGTGGGGCCCAGCGGGGATGAGAGAGGAACTCTGAGGGAAGCTGGGCGAAGAGGGGAGCGCTGAGCGGTGCAGGGTTCCTCCTAGTGGCTGGAGGAAGGCATGGAGGGTTTGCCTTGCCATCCTCCTTTAAAATGTATTTTTTAACGAAAAAAGTCAAATATGGAGAAAAGTCAAAATACAACAAACACCCAAATGTCCACCATTTAGACAACCGAGTCTCAGCCTTGGTGACAACCTCACCTGGGGAGCTTTTAAAAAACCTGATGTTAAAAAAAATTTTTAAATTGATTTCAGAGAGGAAGGGAGAGGGAGAGATAGAAACATCAATGAGACAGAATCGTTGATCAGCTGCCTCCTGCGTGCCTCCTACTGGGGATCAAGCCCGCAACCTGGGCATGTGCCCTCGACTGGAATCGAACCTGGGACCCTTCAGTCCGCAGGCCGACGCTCTCTCCACTGAGCCAAACCAGTTTCGGCCAGACCTCCTCTTTACCTCTCTACTGAAGCTTAGCACCTCCTGAAGGGAAGCCTTCCTTAGCAACCGCCACCCAAACTGCAAACGGGGTCTCCTCTTCCGGACTCCTCAGCCCGATTTCGCTGTCGCAGTACTAATATCCCGTATTGTTCCTGTTTGTCCCCCCCTCCTGTCTCCCATCCCCCTCCACCCCCGCAGGCCACTAGATCCTTGAGAGTACGGTCGCCTCTGGGGCACAAGTCCCTAGCACCGTGTCTGGAAGGTATTAGTAACTATTGGATAAATAGCTCAGACAGCTTTAAGGATGTGCCCAAGGTCACATGAGTTATAAGTGAAGGAGTAGAGGGTCGGTCTGACTCCGAAACATCGGCTCTTTACCTCTCTGATCGCTTTGGCTTGGCCTGCCTAACCCAACTCTTTCTTTTTTTGCCCCCCAAGGACTGAGGAGGAGAAGAAGGACTGGGTCCAGGTAACATCCAAGAAGGCTTTGTGGCGGGGGCAGGAGTATTAACAGGCTCCCAAGGGGGCGGGGAACTGTCCCCTAAAACCGGCACCTGACCACTTGAGCCTGGACAGCAAACTGGCCCGTGCCCATTTTACAGATTAGCTCACTGAGGTCCAGAGGTAACAGCTCACAAATTCTGCCTTTAGAGACCCGCCTACTCTGGGGGTGTGAGCCCAGTGAGTTAAGCCCTAAAAAAGCAGAATTCAGCCCAGCCAGTGGCTAGGAAGGCCTTTTGGGTTTTTTCCAGCCACTAATCCCCGCCCTCATTTCACCAAGACAAGAACGGAGCCGTCCAGCAAGGGGCAGAGCTGTGGCCAGAACACAACTTCTCTGACCTCGGGCTGGGTCCTAGGAGAGCGAGGTGTGGGTGCAAATGGACGGGTGGTAAGGCGATCTGACCTCCCACTTCTTACACCTCCTCCCCAGGCCATCAACTCCACCCTTCTGAAGCACGAACAGACGCTGGAGACCTTCAAACTGTTGAACTCAACAAACAGGGAAGATGAAGACACACCCCCTAACTCTCCAGTAAGAGTCCTCCCCTCCCTCCATACTGAGCCTCCAAGTCCCACCTCCCCCGGGGAGACCGGAAGCCGTGTTGGTGGTGGGGCCGCAGACATCACTGGGGAAATGGAGGCTCAGAGAGTAGGAATGACTCGTGTTCAGTAGCACAATCAGGTAGGGAGAGAGCCGGGACTCAAAAGCAGGTCTTACCCCCCACCCCCAGCAATGCCTTTAACATGCATACATGTAACATAGAATACAGCAGTAGAAACACGGGAGTTAACAAAACTGCATAGCAATATTAATTCTATATCTCCCGGAATTTATTTCGTATAAATCAGAAGCATATACTAAAAGGAATCTATGCTGATTGTGGCACAACACTCTGACCTATTAGTAACCACTGACTAGTCATTGAATATGGGAATATTGTACAATACTATGTTACGTTTTTTATTTTTATATATAGAGATATATATATATAGATATATATAGATATATAGATGTATGTATAGAGATATATATATAGATATATATATATTATTGGTTCAGAGAGGAAGGGAGAGATAGAAACATCAATGATGACAGAGAATCACTGGCTGGCTGCCTCCTGCACGCCCCACACTGGGGATCGAGCCCACAACCCAGGCATGTGCCCTTGACCGGAATCGAACCCGGACCGTTCATTCCACAGTCTGGTGCTCTATCCACTGAGCCAAACCAGCTATGGCTATTATGAAAGCAGCTTTGTTTTAAAAAAACAGCATAGATGCCGAAACCAGTTTGGCTCAGTGGATAGAGCATCGGCCTGCAGATGGAAGGATCCCAGGTTCGATTCCCGTCAAGGGCATGTACCTTGGTTGCGGGCACATCCCCGGTAGGGGGTGTGCAGGAGGCAGCTGGTCCATGTTTCTCTCTCATCGACGTTTCTAGCTCTCTATCCTTCTCCCTTCCTCTCTGTTAAAAAAAAAAAATCAATAAAATATATTTTTTTAAAATGAAAAACAGCATAGATAACTTCAAGAAGGATAGGATTTTGTTAAATGCTTAACAGCTCTGATAGGATTCTGTGAAATCAGAAAATTGTGAAAGGCGGGTCTTCTGACTGTGTCTGCTGCCTCCAGTGATGACCCAGGCCTCAGGGCACGGGCGAGGGCTGGCCAGGCTGGGCCTGGGGAGCGGCTGCCTCTGACCCAGGCCCTGCCCCTGGCCCTCTCTCCAGAACGTGGATCTTGGGAAGCGCGCCCCGACCCCCATCCGTGAGAAGGAGGTCACCATGTGCATGCGGTGCCAGGAGCCCTTCAACTCCATCACCAAGCGCAGGCACCACTGCAAGGCCTGCGGGCACGTGAGTGTGGGGAGGCTGGGCAGAGCCAGGGAGGGCAGAATGAGGGAAGACCGGGGGAGTCAGGACATCCTGGGAGTCAGGACACCGAAGGGGAAGGCCTTCTGCAAATCAGGCATCTCTTGCCCATTTGCCACTCCAGGTGGTTTGTGGGAAGTGCTCCGAGTTCCGGGCCCGCCTCATCTACGACAACAACCGCTCCAACCGCGTGTGCACTGACTGCTACGTGGCCTTGCACGGCGTGCCTGGGAGTAGCCCGGCCTGCAGCCAGCACACCCCCCAGCGCCGGAGGTCCATCCTGGAGGTGAGTGCCAGGCCTATGAGCACTGACCCTCACACGCCACACTCATGGGTGCCAGCCACCCCCCCCCCCCCCCCGGAGATGGAGGCCTGGGTTTCTCTGGAACCGTAGTGCCACGTGCATCCACTGATCAGGTGACCCAAGCTAGACGCTAGTGACATGAATGCAACCCTACTGAATTCAAGCCACTTGGGTCCTTTCGACCCCTTGGCATTTTATTTGAGTGCTTTAGGCATTTATCTTCAGAGTAACGAATCTATTCCTATCCCCGTTTTACAAATGAGGAAACTGAGGCCCCAGGAAGTTACCCGAGTCACGCAACCAGTGAGCGGCAGAGCTTGCATGTTTTTTAATTAACAAACGATCTCTTCTTATTACCAAGTAGGACATGCGCACTGAAGGAAAGCCGACAGTCTAAGCAAATAATGAAAACACCCTATATTTCTTCCGCCCACTAGATATCACTAACACTTCTGCTTCCTATCTTTCTAGGCGCGTGCGCATTTTGGTTTTGTTTCTTAGCCCAATCGAGGTATTTATTTTATTTAACATTTCAAGAACTCTCCCTCTGTGCGAGGCACTGCTCTAAGCGCTTTGCATCTATTAATTCATTTAATCCTTCCAGTAGCTCTGTATGTTTTCCTTCCTAGCCATAACCACAATGCCAGGTCGCCTCTTGCTGAGCGTAGGGGGTGGATATGTGACCAAAGATGGGGAGAAAAAAAAAAAACGGTGAGGTGCAAACGCATAAAGGACTTGAGGAATCGATGAAGCGAGGGAAGAACGCCTGACTAGCATGTAGGTGCCTCTCCCACCAGCTCTTAGAGGTAGTCGCCATGGCCTGATTCACTGGGGGACACGGGGCAAATCACTCCTGCCACCTGAGCTTCAGCATCCTCATCTGAAGTATGGGCCGCGCAATACCTCCGCTGAGGGGTCCTGAAGCCCAGAGGAGGCCAGCCAGGCCTCCCTCCACGCTGACGCCCCCTCTGTCTCTGGCCACAGAAGCAGGCCTCGGTGGCTGCGGAGAACAGCGTCATCTGCAGCTTCCTGCACTACATGGAGAAGGGCGGCAAAGGCTGGCACAAGGCGTGGTTTGTGGTCCCTGAGAACGAGCCCCTGGTGCTGTACATCTACGGAGCCCCTCAGGTGTGCCTCCCCCTCCTCGGGGTCCGTTCAGCCACCTGGCAGAGCCAAGCTTCCCCCTTCCCCTTCCGCCCTCGGCCTCCCCTTGGCCTTGGGGATCGCGTGACCCTAAGTAGAAATCAGAGCCCCCCACTGCCTAGAAGCAAGGAGTGATTGCGAGCCAATGTGGTGGGGGGAGGCCCTAGCTTCCCAGAGAAAGCCAGGGTGCAGACGAGGCACCACTAGATCCAACCTGGACGGGGAAGAATGCATAAATGGGGGCAGCAGGCGAGACCGGTTTGGCTCAATGGATAGCGTCGGCTTGGGGACTGAAGGGTCCCAGGTTCGATTCCAGTCAAGGGCATGTACCTTGGTTGTAGGCACATCCCCAGTAGGGGGTGTGCAAGAGGCAGCTGATTGATGACTCACTCTCATCGATGTTTCCAACTATCTCTCTCCCTTCCTCTCTGTACAAAATCAATAACATATATTTATTAAATAAATAAATGGGGGCAGCAGCCTAGACCCGTGGTCGGCAAACTGCAGCTCGCAAGCCACGTGTGGCTCTTTGGCCCCTTGAGTGTGGCTCTTCCACAAAAGACCACGGCCTGGGCCAGTCTATGTTGAAGAAGTGGCGTTAGGAGTTTACATTTAAAACATGTGGCTCTCCAAAGACATTTCAATCATTGTGCTGTTGGTATTTGGCTCTGTGGACTAATGAGTTTGCCGACCACTGGCCTAGACAAAGGCTTGGAGATGTTACTCGGTATAAAATACACTAAGGTAGGGGTGTCGAACTCAATCAGAGAAGGGGCCAAAATCTAAAATCCAGCCTAAATCGCGGGCCGAATGGTTTACTGAACAGTCATAAACTGTCATTGTGATGGAAATGCAGCGGAGTGCAGTGATGACAGCGCGGGTGCAGGCCACATTGCAAGGCCTGGCAGGACGGATTTGGCCCGCGGGCCTTGTGTTTTGACACATGTGCACTAAGGGAACTAAGCCAGCTGGTTTGGGGTGTAGGAGGGAACGGGTATGTGAACCCAGACAATTTTCTGTTGCTACCAAGGGAACCCTGGCAGATTTTTTAAAATATATTTTATTGATATTTTACAGAGAGGAAGGGAGAGGGATAGAGAGCTAGAAACATCGACCAGCTGCCTCTTGCACACCCCCTACTGGGGATGTGCCCGCAACCAAGGTACATGCCCTTGACCGGAATCGAACCTGGGACCTTTCAGTCTGCAGGCTGATGCTCTATTCATTGAGCCAAACCGGTTTCCGCAGCCTTGGCAGGTTGTTGAGCAGGGCAAGGAAAAGGGGGGGTGAGCAGGTGAAAAGGCAGTGAGAAGCGCAGCCTCCGGTGACCCCGGCTCTGTCTGTCCCCCAGGATGTGAAAGCCCAGCGCAGCCTGCCCCTCATCGGCTTCGAGGTGGGGCCTCCCGAGGCCGGGGAGCGGCCTGACAGACGGCACGTCTTCAAGATCACCCAGAGCCACCTGAGCTGGTACTTCAGCCCCGAGACGGAGGAGCTGCAGCGGCGCTGGATGGCCGTGCTTGGCCGAGCGGGCCGTGGGGACACGTTCTGCCTGGGGCCCACCCCGTCCGAGGACAGGGAGCTGGAGGAGGCGCAGGTGGCAGCTGCGGGAGCCGCCGCCGAGCCCTCTGAAGCCCCCCAGACCCGAGACAAGACCTAGAGGGCTTGGGGGGACCTGAGGCCCCGTCCCACACTCTAGCTGCCCATGTCCGACGGGGGGCCCCGGCCCCCTCCCTCCCAGCTCAGTCAATACTTGAACTCCCATCATGGGCACTTTCAATCCCGAATGCTGGGTCTTGGGTTTTTTAATTCATCTTTTCACACAATGGGGGCTTTTAAAAGAAATATTCCTACAGTGATGTTCCTTTTTTTTAATCCCCGTCCCCAGGGAGGGTGGGAGCTGTGGCTAGACCTGCCTGAACAAGGCCATTTCCCCATCCCCTCCACACCCCCCCCTCCGATCCTGCCTCCACCCACCCCCCCAAAAGCACCAGAGGCAGGAGACCTGGGTTCGAGTGCCAGTTCTCCCACCCAGGCCCTAGCCCTGGCCCAGCCCTGCCCCCTCCCCCAGTGTCCTCACACGTACGATGCAAGGTGGGGCAGTGACCAGATCCTTCCCGCCTCTCCACGGCTTACAGCTTCTACCCACCCCCGAGGCTACCCAGTATTTTATCGTCCAGACCCATGGCAGGGCCACCGGGCAGGACAGGGGAACAGGGGGGGACAACGGATACTCTCGGTTTTGTTTTGTTTTTTTAAAGAAAAAAAAAATACAGTTTATTTCAGGCTTACGGAAACTTTCGGGCCACTGCTGTGCTCCGTTTGTCCGTCTGTGTGTGTGTGTGTGTGTCCGAAAGTGCCGCCTGCTAGGGTGGGCCCACAACCCGCTCCCTCGCTGAGCTCGGCGTCTCAGCTCCCCGAGGAATGACGCCAAGGCTACTCACAACAGGCCACGCCACAGGTTCAGCTTTAAGGTGTTTTTATTCATGTCTGTTAAGCCTCATCCCTGGACGTGGATGGAATTAGATGAAGAGTTTGGAAAGAGGTTGCAGGAGACAGAAAACGAAGCCCAGGTCCCCCGAGCTCACCACCTTGCCAATGCCTTAGACTTCCTGAAGGAACCAGGGCTGCAGGCCGGGGCCGCGCTGCTGTGTGTGTGTGTGTGTGTGTGTGTGTGTGTGTGTGTGTGTGTGTGTGTGTGTGTACGGGCAGCAGGGAAGTGGGAGAGGGAACACAGCTACTTCCGTTCCCGCTGTCCATGATTCTCTCTTCCGGCCGCCATGTTCATCTCAGCGTTACTGAGCCGCAGAAGTGTTGGTTCTGCTGGTCCTCTCTCCTTTCATAAACCTACCTGCCCACTGTCAACCAACCAGCATTCAGCGCCTCCAACCACACCCGCACCCGCTCATCCTACCGTCCGCACCCAAGGCCTCACCATTCGGACAATAACTTACGGCCCAAGGGGGTGTGGTCAACCAGGTCCCACCAAACCAAGGCCAAGGACCCTACGGCTCTTCTTCCCCTGGAGGGAGCTGGACAGGGGAATGGGGAGAGGATGGAGATGGGATAACCAGTCCAAAGGTTCACACTCCTCCATACAAGGGCCCAAACCATGGCCAGCCCCGCTCATTTCTTTCTCCGGACAATGGTCCAACCATCCTCCACTATATCTTCTTCCTTAATAGTCTGGGTGTCTGGCCCAGAGGGTTCAGCCTGGGGGCAGACCCCACCAGTAGCTGCCCCATCATTTGTAGCTGTGACCTGCAGGAGAGACACAGAAGGGAGCTAAGTACAACACACCTCCCCGTTGTGACCATTGGAATACCCAGGCTCTAACTCCCCGCTTTGTAAGGATTGGCTGTGTGGCCTTAGGAAAGTTCCTTGTCCTCTCTGGATAATACAGCCACTACCACCCCATCCCCATCAGCTCCCTATGATCTCCCAGAAAATTGAAAATATCTACATCTCACCCGGCCCGCATGGCTCAGTGGTTGAGCGTTGACCTACGGACCAGGAGATCATGGTTCGATTTCCGGTCATGGCATACCCCCAGGTTGCAGCTCAATCCCCAGTGTGGGGCGTGCAGGAGGCAGCCAATCAATGATTCCCTTTCATCATTGATGTTTCTCTCTCTCTCTCCCTCTCCCTTCCTCTGTGAAATCAATAAGTTAAAGAAATATCTCCATCTCTCCACCCAAGGGCACCCCGCTCACCTCCATCTCCTCCGCGCTGTCCGCATTATTATCATCCGCCTGCTTATCTGTCGCAAGTGCCGTGGCTCTAACCCTGCGCTTCCTCTGGATGATGTGGGAGGTCAGCTCCTTCATGGTGGCCCCATCACCCCTCTGGTAGTGGTAGAACATGGTCTGCAGCTGCTGGCTCACCTGTCAAGAGAGCATTCCACCAGCCTGGGTTGCCTAGAGGACCTACAATACAACAGCCTGGGTTTGCAGCGAGAGTGGGGAAGGGTGTGGAATGTCCCAGGAGGCCATGGGGCCCTTTCCTCCCCCAAGGAGTTCACTCAAGGAGCCGCATATGAAAGGAAGCTGAGGTAACGGCCTGAAGCACGGAAGGAGGGCCTCCGAGCTAGGAAGGCACAACTAGTAAAACCGGGTTTGGAAGATGGAAGAGGGAAAAGGGAAGGCGATCCCAGCAGGGGGTGGTGGTAACCAGGGGAGGGGTGAAGATGTGCCTGGCCCGGCCTGCCTTTGGGGTGAGGCTCCTGAGGAACAGACCTGGCCGGGAATGGTGGCTCAAGAGAAGAGAGAAGCCCTGGCTGGCTTGGCTCAGGGGATAGAGCGTCGGCCTATGAATTGAAGGGTCCCGGGTTCGATTCCGGTCAAGGGCACAAGTCTAGTTTGCAGGATCCATCCCCAGTGTGGTTGCAGGAGGCAGCCAATGAATGATTCTCATCATTGATGTTTCTCTCTCTCTCCCTCTCCATCTCTGAGATCAATAAACAAAAATTTTTTTAAGAGAAAAGGTAGGATTTGGAAAGGCCTTGGAAGACTAGGCAATAGGGAGTCATAAAGCGTTCTTATGCGATGCTCAGTGGTTAGAACCAAGGCCTAAAATAAACACCTGGGGAGAAGACTATAGGGACTATAGGCAGGAAGGGGGCAGCTGTGCCCACGACATGCTCACCTGGGGCAGGCTCCCGTCCTCCACAACCGTGTCAAACTCGTTGGTCATGAGCTCCCCGAGGAAGTCCTCCACCTCATCCAGCTCCAAGTCAGCTGGAGAGGGAAGGACAGGGCGCTGTGGTCAGAGACGAGCCACCGCCACCACGCCCGCCTGCTACTTTTCCAGCGCCCACCGGCTGGGGCCACATCTGGTTGGTGAGCCTTTTATTCGCTGCCGTGCTCTGCATTCTGGGTTTGAACATCACTTTTTTTTTTTTTAATGGAGAGACCCTTCATGACTGTGGCTCCGTGGATACAGGAGGCCAGACCAATGGGACAGATAAGAAATGGGTATAAATACTCGCAATGATGAAATGTCATAGTCTGAACATCAACATCCTATTGTGTGGCTTCGGCTAAGCTAAGCTCTCCTCTGTGCTTCCGTTACCCTATGGGCCCATCCTCTTCTGAATTGGAGAATTACTCAAGAAGGTCTTCCACGAAGCTGCCCCACCCCCTGCCACCCCCAAGACCTCATTCACCCCCTTGGCTTTCCCAATCAACTCTATTTTTTTATTTTTATTGATTATGGTCTCACATAATTGTCCTTATTCCCCCATTCCCATCCCAAACCCCTCCCTAGATATGCCCCCCTCCCCCAACCCTCGTTGTCCATGGCCACTGGCCAGGCCCTTATGTATGCACACAAGTCCTTTGGTTGATCTCTTCCTCTTACCCCCATCCTCCCTTACTTTCCCTCTGAGGTTTGAGAGTCTGATCGCTGCTTCTCTTTCTCTGGGTCTGTTTATGTTGGTCATTATTTCCTCTAGATGTGTGAGATCATGTGACCCAAGAAATACCCTTGTAAGAACCTAAACTGCAACAAGCCATAATGGTTATGCTGAGAGGCACATGAATCAGTCTGTAGTGAGTTCCTTTCTGGGCCAACAGTTCTTTGGAGTCCCAATTTCAATGCCAGATAGTTCCTTATGTGTACATGCCAGCCATGATATTTCAGATCTTGTTGGTGGACAAATGGTGGTGATGCAGGTCCGCCTGTCTCTGGTTTGGTCCTGAGCATCCTTCAGCAACCCACGGCTGCTGTCTGCTGGCATGCAGAGGCGTCGTCAGCATCTTCCATCTCTGAATTGTGTCTCTTCTGTCTTCATGGCTGGCCAACCACTCTAATCCAATATCCTCCACATCTGTCTCCAACTCAGACTGCTTCACCTATTTCACAGGTACCTCAGACCCTCCATATCCAAAGTCAGACTCATCACCTTACCTACCCTCCAGGCTTCTCTGTACCATGAACGCACCTAATCCACTGGGCCACTCATTCCAGAATCTCCTTCTCCTTCCCTCTCTGCAGCCAAGCAATCTCCAGGCCCCTAACTCACCCCTTCTTTCCCATGGCTCTCACCACTGCCCTAGTTCAGGCCTAGTTCACATTCTAGAGAAACAGCCTCTCATTAGTCAGCAAATCCTATCCTATTACTCACCTCAGAACCTGCCAGTGAATTCTCCTCACCTACTGCAGTGTTCATATTGGGCTTTTGAAAAACAGCTGTCCTGCTCGGTTTTAAAGGAATCTATTGCAGAAAGCGATTGGCAAACCGAGGTAAACAGGCTTCTTTTGACTAGTTCTCCCCTCATCCCAGCCTTTACTATGTTAATGATTATTGTGACTCCTGAGGAGGAGCTGCAGAAAAGAGCTTTTCTTACATAATTTGGCTGGGGAAGCTTTTTCATCACTGAACATCTAACAGAGCTATGCCTCCGTAGCATGCATTTTGGTAAACACTGGCTTAAAGGACAAAACCAAAGGCATGTTGCCGAAACCCGGTGTGGCTCAATGGATAGAGCATTGGCTTGGGGGCTGAAGGGACCCGGGTTCGATTCCGGTCAAGGGCATGTACCTTGGTTGCGGGCATATCCCCAGTAGGGGGTGTGCAAGAGGCAGCTGTTCAATGACTCTTTCTCATCGATGTTTCTAGCTCTCTATCTCTCTCCCTTCCTCTCTGTACAAAATCAATAAAATATATTTTAAAAAAAAACAACAACAAAAAAAGGCATGTGAGGCCATCAGCGTCCTACCCTTTTCCGGGGGCCTCCCCACCCCCAGCCCCAGCTTCACTCTTCGCCACTCCTCTCCTCCACACACCCACAAGCAAGCAAACATGCATGCATGCACACACGCACGCACACACGCACGCACACACGCCACACACACTTCAATATTGAGCACCCTACCACTTTCCAAATATAGCACATCATCTCCGCATACCACAGCGTTTGGGTGTAGCTCTCCCTGCCTCCTCCACCTCCTTAACTCCTTCTCCCCCCTCAGACTCAGCTCACCCACCACCAGAGCCTCCTCCCAAGTCTCCTGTCACCCCCACACCGAGCTCCTGATATCAGAACATACCTATCACCCTGTGTGAGAACGCCTATTTCTTTATCTGGACCCCTGGATAGATTGTACATTTCCTGGAAAGTCTCTGCCTACTGTCATCTTCAAGACTCAAACACTGAAGAATTTTGTAAAAATCGTATTATGCAAAAGGCCCTCAAGACTACAAAGCAAAGGGGATCCCTGTCATTCAAATGGCCAGATGTGGTTATCCAGCATATCAATGTGGCGGCGACGCCAAACTGAAATTTGCAAAAACGGGCCCTAGCAGGTTTGGCTCCCTGGATCAGAGCATCAGCCCGGGTTCGATTCCGGTCAAGGGCACGTAGTACCTCAGCTGCAGGCTCCTCCCCGGGCGCCTCCAGGAGGCGACCAATCAATGTGTTTCTCACATCATGATTCTCTCGGCCTCTCCCCCTCCCTTCCACTCTCCCTAAAAATCAATGGAAAAATGTCCTCGGGTGAGGATTTAAAAAAAAAAGAAGTAATTTTGGTAAAACTAAAATACCCAAATTTTGAAAACGCAATGCTAAAAATTATGTAAAGCAACTGCAGAATTTTTTTTAAGGCAATGAGACGTGACTCGCATTATATTTCTATTAGACTTGTATGTGCCCTGATCAGGATGGATACAAATATTTCTATTTCTATTGGACTTGGCTAGGCCCTGATCAGGATGGATACAAATATATTTCTGGGGTGGCTACTTTGATGCCCATGTTAGGAATTAGGAAACTGAGTCTCGGGGAGACGAAATGACTCGCCTGCGTGAAACCATGAGTAACACCCCCTCCCGTAAGGCATCTGAACCCACAATCCTGACTGCAAAGCTGGTATTCATGCCACCTCGCCCTCAGGTACCAGCCGACCATTGCTCAAGAGGAAGGGCGGATTCTCCACCCCCCGCCCCCCCCCCCCTCTCCGCCCCCCCCCCCCCCCCCGCCGTCCTCTCCCTCACCCGCCCCCTCCACAGCCGCAGCGCCCGCCATCCGCTCACCATTGCGGGAGAAGTACTCCTCCACGGCACCTCCCAGCCACTCGGCCTTCTCCTGGCTGTGCACACCCCCGAAGCCATTCTCCACGGCGATCTGCGAACACAGGCCCGAGCCCACCACGTCAGCCCGACAGCCCGCTGGGGGTGACGCAGGAGGCCGCCGCCGAGGACGCCGAGCCGCAGCGCCCTCGCCGGACGATCCTAGCCTGTCCCGGGCACTAACCATTCCCGTCCCCGATCCCGCTCACCTGCAAGGCCGGCCAGGCCTCCAGCGCCGCGCGGACGCCAGCCCTGAAGAGCGCTCTCAAATCCTCCCCGGCGCCCGCCATCATCGGGCTCTGAGCATGTGATGCGTAGGCGGACCAATCGGCTCGCATCGCGGACCAATCGGATCGCAGGACGGCCCAGGCAGCAGGAGTCGATCGCCGAGCCTGAGAACCCGGACTCATCTTTCCGCTGACCTGGCACAAGACTAGAGCAATAGAGAAGTCGGTCGGAGCAACGGATGACACCATCACAGCTACTGGGCTGCAATGATTAAACCAAAGGAAGCCAGAAGCCGAGGAGGATGGCGTGGGGCCAAGGGTTCTGAGCCCCTGGGTTCCGGACCAGAGCCATGTTTACTGCGCAGAAAAGATGTGGGGTCCCTGGTTGGGTAGCTCAGTTGGTTAGAGCCTGGCCTGGATATGCCAAGGTTGCGGGTTCCATCCTGATCAGGGCACAAGTATCAACCAATGAATGCATCAACAAGTGGAAGAAAAAATTGATGTTTGTCTGAAATAAATAAACAAACAAACAAATACCTCAAACATAACCTAACCTTCCACTCTAGGAAATGAGAAAAAAAACAAAACACACACACAAAATAACCTCAAAGCAAGCAGAAAGGAGATAAAGATTGGAGAGGAAATAAGTAGAATAGAAAAACAATGGGGGGGAAAATCAGTTAAACCAAAAGTTGGTTATTTGAAAAGATCAAAAACATTGACAAACTTAGCACAGTGGATAATGAAAGAGAGAAAGAGAGAGGACTCAAGTTATGGAAATCAGGATGAAAAGGTGGCATCACTTATGACTCGTCAAAAAAGACCACATTGTATGATACCATTTATTTTTTTGTACTTTTTTTTGTATGATACCATTTATAAGAAATGTACTGAACAGGCAAATCTATAGAGATAGAAAATAGATTAACGTTTACCCAGGGCTTAGGGAAGGGAGAAATGAGGTCTGACTCCTAATAGGTACAAGCTTTCTTTTGGGGGTGATGAAAATGTTCTACAATTAAATGCTATAGGGGCTGAGCTGTAACACACACACACACACACACACAACTCATATGTTGAAAACCTAACCCCCCAATACCTCAAAATGTAGAAATATATTTGGAGATAGAGCCTTTAAAATGATAATTATCACCGATAAGGGTTTAATCTCCAACATTTACAGGGAATTCATACAACTTAACAAAAGGAAGATAAACAACCTAATCAAAAAATGTGCAATGGGCCAAAACCGGTTTGGCTCAATGGATAGAGCGTCGGTCTGCAAACTGAAGGGTCCCGGGTTCGATTCCGGTCAAGGGCATGTACTGTGGTTGCGGGCACATCCCCAGTGGGGGATATGCAGGAGGCAGCTGATCGATGATTCTCTCTCATCAATGTTTCTGATTCTCTGTTCCTCTCTCTTCCTCTCTGTGAAAAATCAATAAAATATATATTTTTTTAAATGGGCAATGGACCTGAATAGGTACTTTTCAAAAGAAGACATAAGGAAGGCCAAGAGACATATGGAAAACATGCTCAAAGTCACTAATCATCTGAGAGATGCAAATCAAAACAACAATGAGGTAACACCTCACACCTGTCAGAATGGCTGTCATCAACAAATCAACAAATGACAAGTGCTGGTGAGGATGCGGAGAAAAAGGAACCCTCGTGCACTGCTGGTGGGAATGCAGACTGGGGCAGCCACTGTGGAGAACAGTGTGGAGTTTCCTCAAAAAACTGAAAATGGAACTCCCATTTGACCCAGTGTTCCCATTTCTAGGAATATATCCCAAGAAACTAGAAACACCAATCAGAAAGGATATATGCACCCCTATGTTCACAGAAGCACAATTCACCATAGCTAAGAGTTGGAAACAGCCTCAGTGCCCATTAGCACATGAGTGGATTAGAGAACAGTGGTGCAGCTACACAATGGAATACTACGCTGCGGTAAAAAAGGAGTTCTTACCATTTGCAGCAGCATGAATGGAGCTGGAGAGCATTATGCTAAGCGAAATAAGCCAGGCAGAGAAAGATAAATATCACATGATCTCACTCATTTGTGGAATATAATGAACAACAGAAACTGATGAACAAAAACAGATGCAGAGACAGAGAAGTATCCATCAGATGGTCAAACCTCAGAGGGCAGGTTGGGGAGGGTGAGGGTAAAAGGGGGAGATCATCCAAAGGACTTATATGCATGCATATATAAGCCTAACCAATGGACACAGACACCAGGGGTGTGAGGGCATGAGGGGGGGCACTGGGGGAATAAGGACACATATGTAATACCTTCATCAATAAAGAAAAAAGAAAAAATAATAATAAAGTAATAATTAAGGTAAAATGAGCCATATTAGTACATCCTAATCTACTATGACTGGTGTGATTGTAAGAAGAGATCAGGACACGCAGAGACAGCAGACACATGCATGCATGGAGAGATGACTGTTAAACACAGAAAGTGGACATCTGTGAGCCAAGGAGGAAGGCCTCAGAAGAAACCACACCTGCTAACACCTTGATCTTGAACCTCCAGCTTCTAGACTTTAGAGAAAATAATTTTTTGTTGTTGAAGACATCAGTCTGTGGTATTTTGTTATCACAGCCCTAGCAAACTAATAGTTACACAACACTGTGCATATACTAAAAGCCATTGAATTGTACACTTTTAATAAGTGAAACAAATATTTCAATAAAGCTGTTCTTGGAAAAGTATTGTAGATGACTTTCTCTCACAACAATGATTGTAAACTAAAAACTAGATCCTTGTTAACAAACAGTCTGATGATTTTGTGCCTGGCCCTGTGCGGAATGGTGTTGGGTCATGGGGTTTGGTCAGATGCTCAGTGAGCTCAAAGTCTGGCGTGCAAGATTTGTTCAAGGACCATAGAGTATGATCAGTGCTCAGGGGGATTCTAGGTTTTGAAGGGTCTGAAGCAGATAGAATTTTGCAAGCTCTGTTTAAGAAAAATAGTACAGCCGAAACCAGTTTGGCTCAGTGGATAGAGCATTGGCCTGCGGACTGAAGGGTTCGATTCCGGTCAAGGGCATGTACCTTGGTTGCGGGCACATCCCCAGTAGGAGGTGTGCAGGAGGCAGCTGATCATTGTTTATCTCTCATCAATGTTTCTAACTCTCTACCCTTCTTCCTTCCTCTCTGCAAAAAATCAATAAAACGTATTTTAAAAAGAAAAACAAAAATAGTACAGCCCAGGCCAGTGTGTCCCAGTTGGTTGTCACCCGATGCACCAAATGGTCCCTCCTGGTCAGGGCACATGCCCAGGTTGTGGGCTCAGTCCCCAGTAGGGGGCCTGCAGGAGGCAGCTGATAGATGTTTTGATCACCTGAATGGAATGGAATTCTTTGTAGTCTCTCTAGGAAATGTTATTATAAAATAGATGTTTTCTCTCTCCCTCTCCTTTCCTCCCTCTAAAATCAAATGTTTAAAAAGAAAAACAGTATCAATTTAGGTATGATAGTAAACATTGCTTTAGATTTACAAAGAAATCACAAATGATACAAATTACAATTTTTAAAGTGCATTTATCTACATAAATATACTCAAATTCAGAAAACCAAAATATTCTTATCAATTGCCAGACTCACCCCTCTACTAATGTTTCCATTTTTTATATTCTCTTATAAATAAGTAGGACAATTATTTTATAATAACAACTCCTAGAGAGAATAAAAAGAATTCAGTTCCATTCAGGTGATCAAAACTTTTTTTTTTAATATTTGCTTTTATTTTTTAAAATATATTTTATTGAATTTTTTACAGAGTGGAAGGGAGAGGGATAGAGAGCTAGAAACATCGATGAGAGAGAAACATCGATCAGCTGCCTCCTGTACACCCCGCACTGGGGATGTGCCCGCAACCAAAATACATGCCCTTGACCGGAATCAAACCTGGGACCCTTCAGTCCGCAGACCGACGCTCTATCCACTGAGCGAACCAGTCAGGGCCAAAACTTTTTTATTATTGGTATGTTTCGAAAAGTTTCACCCTCGCAGCTCGTTATGAGTAATGTGAATTTTAAGATTGTTGCCAAATTTGGGGACACCTCTATCTAGTTTCTCTTCCCTGTGAGCTGTAAAATTTCAGGGTATTGAACTATTCTTGTGCCATGACAAATCTTAAATACGTTTCAAACGGACGATGGCCTGTAGCATTGCGGGGCACTGAGGCTCAAGCATGATTAGTTCTCCGGCTCCTGGCAAAGCCGGAGGAGAAAGGAGACCAAGACAGACCAGCAGGGGGGGTCCCTGACCCAGCCGTGGGGGTTGTGGCAAGCCTCTCAGAGATGACACCGGGGCCACGCAAAGTTGAAGAGGCATTTTGCCAGGCAGTGGGCAGTGTGTGTGTATAAGAGGGAGGGGGTGTCACTAAAAGGAAGAAATAATCTTTCGGGCCGTGGCAACAATGTGTATACAAAGACTCGGAGGCAGAAAACAGCATGGTGTGTGATAAGAAGAGTGGACATTCCAAGACTGATAAACTCAGGAGGCATAACTCCTCCCGAGCTCCAGACCCTCATTCCAGCAGATGCAGCCATTTCAACTCAGCAATTTAGATGGAGTTCAAAGAGGCCCAAACGGAGACACTGAGATTAGGCACCTCTGCCTGAGTTCCTAGGATCTGAGATCTCAAACGTACATGGAGGGGGTAGATTCTGGTCACCAGTTCCACTGTGTGCATGGGGGAAGCCGGGGCACGGGGTGGGGGTGGGGGTGATTTCCCTCACCACCAAGCAATTCTCCGACATCAACTGGGTGACCTACAATTCAGCTCCATTCTGACACCAGCTGTAGGTACTGTCAGATCCCATAGGTCAGAGTTTCCCAAACTTCTCTCATGATGAGAATCACCTGGTGGAGTTGTTAAAACAGATTCCTGAATCTCAACTAAGAAGTGCTAAACTAGAATTTTTGGGAACATATAGGTAAAATTGTATACTAAGACAGAGCACTAAGTTAAGTATACAATTTTACCTATATGTTCCCAAAAATTCTAGTTTAGCACGTCTTAGTTGGGAATCAGGAATCTGTGTTTTAACAACTCCACCAGGTGACTCTCATAATGAGAGAAGTTTGAAGACCCCTGGGTTAAGGGCTCAGTCCTACA